GCGTCTGCGGATGTTGCAGAACCAGTTCTTCAGCTGCATCTTGGACAGCCCCGATTTCTTCATTAGCTCCAGCTTGGCCTGCGGCGACGGGTACGGGTTGTCGATGTTTTGCTGGAGCCACCCGTACAGCACCCTGTTGACATGTGTGTCGTAGCACTTTGCATGCGCGGCAGCGCCTGTGGTCAGCCTGCGTTTGGCCACATGTCCATTTGTCGCGGGGCGGTGAGAGTAGCGCCGGTCGTCGCCATCGCGGGCCGTGTCGTCGTATGCGACAGAGCAGTACTGGCTGATTGCCGCATGCGAGAGCTCCCGCGGCACAAACACCGCGTCACGGCGTGCGCGCGCGCGAGCGGGCAGCGCATCTGCGCCCGCGTCGCTGAGTGGCGGCGGCGGCGGCGCCGCGAGATAGCCAGTCGCCGGCGGGCTGGCATCTGGAGCAGACAACGCCATGTGGAACATCTCACCGCACGGGCCCCGTGCGTCTGCGACACCAGTGGCCATCAGCGACTCTGTGCTGGCGGCAGACGACACGAGCAGTGCCTGCGGCGGGACGCTGGCACCGTCGGCTCCAAACATGGCGAACATCATGTGATCCGAATAGTAGTGGTTGTCAAAGGCGCCGGGAAGCTGAGCGTCCTTGCCGACATATGGCAGCGGGTAGAAGCCGAGGTCCGCCCCCAGCGGCAGCGCCATCGGCAGCGGAAGCGGCGGCATGTTCTCCTGCTCGGACGAGCGGAGCTGGTACTGAAGGGGCAGCGCGTAGTTGTGGCTCATGACAGAGACGGACAGGGCCATGGGGTGGAGAGCGGGTGCACTTGTCGAGACACCGCGATCTGTTGCCGGCGCCGACCCAAGAGCATTTATACGGGCGAGCACAGGCGATGTCAGGGCCGCTTGTGCGCAAGGGCTCTGCGTCCCGACGCAGGCTGCGCAAGGCCAATTTTTCTTTGTCTTCGCATTTCCACCATTCGCATATCCAAGACACGCCGCCCACCAAAGGCGGGGGCGGTCCAGCCGCATGAGGAGCCGCAGGAGGGGCCGCGGGCCGCACCAGCGCACAGGCGCCATGCACGCACTACTTTTGCAGTCATCTGTATGAAGGCAGCCCCGACTGGTGATCGGGACCGCCGGGGGCCAAAACAGAAGCGGGGCGCCGGCTTTTGCGCTTGCGGGCGCCATGCGCCGGCTACGCGCTGAACTGTCTGTCGGGCATACGCAAGCCTTTCATGCGCCGCATGGTTTGCGGGGCTGCTGCCGCCCCCGCCCTTCGCCGCAAGCGGCGCACGCTGCCCAAGACTTTGCCGCCTGCAACCCAAGGCCAATGCCGGCGCCATATCAGGCCGGTGCCGTGGAGATGCACCCACTGTATCCACCGGCGGCGACGCAGCGCATTGCCCGCTTTCAAAGGCGAAAGCGCAAAGCGCAGCAGCAGCTGGGGCGTGATGCGGCCTGCGCTGGCTGCAGGCCCGGATTCATGTTTCCGATTACGCCCGCGATTCCGCAGACCCCGTCTGATCCTGAGCGCAGTAATCGCGCCGGCAGCAGCGCCCTGCCGAGAATGCGTGCTGCGAGGGCCGCAGCCAGGGGCCGCTCTCTGTGCCGAATCCGCCCGCTGCTCGAATCGCCCTGCCGCCTCCCGCTTGCTGGCAGTTGATGGTTCTGTCTTCTGCTGCGCGCCGCCTTGTGTACCTTGCAAAGCCCCGCCCGCTGCTCCGCCCGCACGCCCGCCGAGCACCCGCCGCCTTCGCGCAACCGCGTCTTTACGCCGCAATGATGTCGTCGCAGAGCGACTCTGCCCAGTGGGCTCAGCCCGAATCGGCCCATCCGCAGACGGGCCTGAAGGTGTACAACACCCTCACCAAATCCAAGGCAAGTGCACTGCCCCCCGGTGGCGTGCTGGCCGACTGCGGCCGCCGATGGGGGGACGCCTGGGCGTGCTGGTGACTAACCAGGGCGCCGCCGACTGCCAGCTGTAGGTCCCGTTTGTGCCGCGCGAGGGCAACCGCGTCTCCTGGTACGGCTGCGGCCCGACCGTGTACGACGCGTCGCACATGGGCCATGCGTTCAACTATGTGTCCCTCGACATCATGCGCCGCATCATGGAGGACTACCTCGGCTATGACCTCACCGTGGTGATGAACATCACCGACATTGACGACAAGATCATCGAGCGCACGCGCCACGAGCACCTGGTTGCCCAGTACCGGGCCAAGGCGGAGACGCTGTCGGAGCAGCTCGTCGCCGACGTTGGCGCTGCCCTCTGCGACTACGCAAACACGGCGTTCCCAGAGCTCGTTGCAGCCAAGCTCGGGTCTCCGATCGGCCGCGCCGATGACTGGAGGGCGTTTGCAGCCGCAGTCAACGGCGGACAGGACCCGGCCCTTGCGGCCAGCAGCGAGAAGGCGCTGATGCGGTATGACGCGGCTGACGCGGCGTTCGAGGCCCTGGTTGCTGCGCGCCAGAGCCTGGCCGACGGCAAGTCGTCCCAGGCCGCTGCGGTGGCGCTGGTCGACACTGCCACGGACGTGCTGGCGCCGTGGCTCGACGCGCAGTTCCGCGAGAGCGTCACGGACCCGCGCCTCTTCCGCAACCTGTCTGCGTACTGGGAGAATGACTACATGGCCGACATGGACGCGCTGAACGTCCGCCGGCCGAACGTGCTGACCCGCGTGTCGGAGTTTGTGGAGGACATTGTGCGCTTTGTGCAGCGCATCATCGACAACGGGTACGCGTACGAGGCGGAAGGGTCGGTCTACTTTGACGTCGAGGCGTTTGACGGCACCAACGGCCACGTGTACGCAAAGATGTCGCGGCGGTCAAAGGACAGCGCCAAGCTGTTGGCCGAGGGCGAGGGCTCGCTGACCAAGAGGAGAGCGGAGAAGCAGGGCGAAAGGGACTTTGCCCTCTGGAAGTCCTCGCAGCCCGGCGAGCCGGCGTGGCCCAGTCCCTGGGGCCCTGGGCGCCCCGGATGGCACATCGAGTGCAGTGCGATGGCGAGCGAGATCCTGGGCCAAAACATTGACATACACACTGGCGGCATCGACCTGGTGTTCCCGCACCACGAGAACGAAATGGTCCAGTCCGAGGCGTGCTTTGAGAACCACCAGTGGGTCAACTACTTTTTGCACACCGGCCACCTCCACATCGCGGGCCGCAAGATGTCAAAGTCGCTCAAGAACTTTATCACGATCAAGGACGCCCTGAAGAAGTACAGCGCACGCCAGCTCCGCACGCTGTTCCTGCTGACGGGGTGGAGCTCGGGCATCAACTTTAGCGACACGGGGATGGACGAGGCGATCGCAATCGAGAAGACCCTAAGCAACTTCTTCTCCAACGCTGCCGCGCTGGTGCGCGACCTGAAGCAGGCCCAGCAGCCCGCCGACCCCAAGCGCCAGACCAACGAGCCCGAGATTGAGCTGCTGGCCGCGCTGGCTGACGCGCGGGACCAGGTGCACAGCGCGATACTGGACTCGTTTGATACGCCGCGGGCCATGCGCGCAATCCTGGACATTGTTGCGCGCACCACTGCCTACCTGCAGCGGGGCCGCGAAAGCATCGATCCGCAGCCCGTCGAGATGGTTGCGCAGTACGTGACCAAGATTATGCGCGCCTTTGGCATGGCCGACGACAGCGCCACGCGTGCCATCGGCTGGGGATCGGGCGCTGCTGGCACGGCCGGCGCGGACCGCGAGACGACCCTTCTCCCGGTGGCATCGGCGCTCAGCGACTTCCGCGACAGCGTCCGCGAGCTGGCCCTGGCCGGCGGCGACAAGAAAGCGCTGCTTGCGCTGTGCGACAGGCTCCGCGACCAGGTGCTTCCCGAGCTGGGCGTCGTGATCGACGACCACGGCGACGGCCGCGCCCTAGTCAAGGTCGTCGACCCCGCCGAGATCCGGCGTGCCCGCGAGCTGAGCGAGGCCAAGGACGCGGCCAAGCAGCTGGCCAAGGCGAAGGAGGCCCAGCTGGCGGAGGAGAAGCGCCTCGCCCTCCTCGAGAAGGCCAAGGTGCCGCCACAGGACATGTTCCGCACGCCCGAGATGCGCGAGCTCTACTCTGCGTGGGACGAGAGCGGCATCCCCACCAAGGACGCAGCGGGCGAAGACCTCTCCAAGAGCAGGGCCAAGAAGCTCGCCAAGGACTACGACGCCCAGAAGAAGCTGCACGACAAGTTCCTGCAGCAGCAGCAGTGAGCCGCGCCGATTAGCTGTTTGATCTGATCACCAGCCTGGCCTATCTGTTGGTTTCCGAACCAGCGCTTGCCGCTTGCTCAGCTTTGGGTCTTTCCGCGCCGATTCGTCTTTGCAATTTGCACTTGTTTGCGCAGTTTCAGTACGCCCGCCGCAACAATGTCGTTTTCGTGGAGAGCCGCCGGCATGAAGTAAGTGGCCCGCCCATCCGCTGGGGAGGGCCGGCGCATTCGCAGCGCGGACGCAATTGCTAATCGGCCGCGCCCTGCTTCGGGCCCTCGCTGCGGGTAGCTACCTCCAGTACAGCAGCATCGCTGCGCGCGCCCTGCGTCGGGTGGCCAAGCCCGAGCTGCAGAGCGAGATTGCCAAGCGCGAGGGAATGAACGTCAAGTTTGCCAAGTGGGCCAACGGCAAGGCCGGTGTGTCGAGCCCTGTGGTTACCATCGAGACCCGTGCCAAGGCCGAAGAGAACTAGTGCGCGTGCTGCTACGCTGCGATCGCACCTGGAGCGTACGAGTGCTCAATTGGATCTATCTTGCCGCAGCGATACACGCCCCGCCGCAACATGTCGCTTTTGTAGCGCCAGGTGTCGCGCTTGAGGCTTGGCAAGTGAGAAGGAAGAGTGTATTGGAATACACAGGAGATTGGCTGACGCGGTGGTGGGTGTCTCCTGCGCGAACGGGAGGGTTACTAGGTGGTGGCACTAAGATCTGAGTGCCAAGTCGTGCTCGCCAGGGTGCGCACCCTCCTCAGCATGCACAGCCAGTTAGTCGGATAACAGTCGGCCGCGTCCTCGACTGCGAGATTTGATTGGCGATGGTGGTTAAGTGGTATAATTGACGCCTCCCAAGCGTTAGTCCCGGGTTCGATTCCCGGCCATCGCAATCTTTTTTGCGTCTGCAA